AAGGAAAGAGAGTTCTACAAAACTATTGGCACATTATTATACATGGCAAAGAGATTATGATTGTTAACAATTGCAGCTTGTTTGCTTCACCATCAACACTCTTTGGCATCAGCAATTATGAAATTAAAAGAGTAATTGGATTGGGAAAATAAGTTGTCAGGAAGTTCTCCAGAGTACTGAGAGCAACAATGTCAATCTAGAGACTAAGATGTGCTTGATCCAGGCCATGGTCTTTGCAATTACTTGCTATGCATCAGAGAGCAAAGACTAAGGATAACAGAATAAAGGTTTATGTCTTTGAGTTGTGGTGCTGGTGAAGAATGTCAAACATACTGTGGACTGCCAAGAGAACAAACAAGTATGTCCCAGAGAAAGTGAAACCAAGCTGCTCCTTGAAGGCTAGGATTTGGAAACTTCATCCTGCATACTTTGAGCATGTGGCCAGGAGGAACCAATCCTTGGGGAAATACATCATGCTTGGGAGGATGGAGGGACAGCACAGAAGTCCTACTTCAAGCTTTCAGGCTTTCCTCTACTAGAGAATAGAGAGCTCTACTGACCCTATTGGGAAGGAGCTATGCTGCCAACCCAAAGATGGGTGTTGTAATTCATCATCTGCTCTGAGGAACAAAGATGAGCAAATCTCCTCCAATGCAATTTATAGCTTCTAAAAACCTGGTCAAGACTGATGGATGATTTATCAACAATCTGCGTTATGGAGATGACACAACCCTGCTTGCTGAAACTGAAGAGGACCTGAAGCACCTGCTGCAGAGGGTCAAGGACTGCAGCCTACAATATGGATTGAGGCTCAATGTCAAGAAGACAAAGATTCTTACCACTGGACCAATTGGCAGCATCAGGATGAATGGTGAAGAGATTGAGATTGTACACAGCTTTAGTTTGCTTGGCTCCACAGTCAACAGTCTTGGCACCAGCAGCCAGGAAATTAAAAGACGCAGTGCCATGGGAAAGTCTGCTGTTAGGGACCTCTCCAAAGTACTGAAGAGTAATGGTGTCTCTCTGGAGACTAAGGTGCATCTGATACAGGCCATGGTCTTGGCAATCACTTGTTATGCATCAGAGAGTTGGACAATGACCAAGGAGGATAGAAGGAGAATTGATGCCTTTGAGCTGTGGTGCTGGAGAAGAGTATTGAGAACACCATGGACTGCTAGGAAAACAAACAGATTTGTCCTGGAAAGGGTTAAACCGGGTGGCTCCTTGGAAGCAAGGATTCTGAGGCTCCTTCTAACATACTTTGGACATGTTGTGAGGAGAGACTGGTCCTTGGAAAAGGACATCATGCTTGGGAGGGTGGAGGGACAGCACAGGAGGGGAAGGCCCTCTATGAGGTGGATTGATTCAGTGACTGGGATAATTGGGATGGGAGTGTCAGAGACAGTGCGATTGGCACAGGACAGAGCAGAGTTTAGGGCTTCTGTACATAGGGTCGCTATGAGTCGCAAGCAACTCGACAGCACATAACAACAACAACAAAAAAAACCTGGTGCTGGAGGGTCAACTATGAGTCAGTTATGATTCTAGGCAAGGAGAGTGAGAGTGAGGATTATACAACGAAAAATTTCTGAGTTACTGCATTGGTGATAGACATAGGTAAGGTTCTGTTCGGAGTTATCTGTTTGTCTATTTGCCTGGGTGGAGTGATATTATTTGTGATTTTCTTAGCCCTTAAAAGAGTGAAGAGAGAAAATCTGACCCAAAGTAACCTTGAGTCAAGTCATATTTTACACTATTGAGCTTGTTCCTTAGAGGTAAAAAAACTGATTATGCAAACACAGTCACTTCAGAAGTACTCACTTGACCCTTTGTTATTCACTTATTTCTCACCATCTCATTTTAACCATTCATCCACAGGTGGGTTATTATGATTAGAAACTTCTTGGCAACTCTTACAGTCTAACAGTGTTAGGGAGATAACATCTGTGAATAGAAAGGGCAATGTGGCATGCCAAGCAGTTTGTCCTTTCAAGAGGAAAAGGTTATTTTCCTTTCAAAGTTTTGTAACAACAGGAACTTTTCTATTTTACTTTTTTGGTTTGTCTCTGTGTGTGTAGTTTTGAAAGGGAGTTTAAATTACTTGCTTATACATTACTGGCTGTAAACAATACTTGTATTTGTTGTGTTTCTTTGAATTTTTCATAAAGGTAAAATAGAATTTCAAGATGTTCTCAAGAACTCTATTGGATTTTACTCCAGAAATAGATTTTCACTAACCACATAACTGGGAAGAGGCACAAAATATTTTCTGTTTAGAAAAATATATGACATAAATAATGATAAAACAACACTTTTAAGTCAATATCTCAGATTCTACAAAGTGTTATAAAACAAATGAACCACGATAGCACTAGCCCAGCAAGTATCATGCAGCTAGAATAGCCAAGTAGCCAAATTTTCACCTTTCTCTTACATTTGACAATCTTCTTGTATTTTGTTAATGTTTTCCTTGGATAAATTTTATCCATATTCATTATAATAAATATCGTTTATACCATGCGTAAAAATATTCTCAACTCGTTGTGGTAGAGTTGGAACAGACTCATAGTTGGCCCTCTGAGTTTCTGGAGTTATAAAATTGCATGGGAGGAGATTTGTCCTTCTTTGTCCCTGGGTGAAAGGACCAGCCAGGGAGGCTTGGCTTTTGGATTGCAGTGCTATACCATCAGAGTTCTGAAATAATGATTCCCAAGTCTACATTCATATCTCTGACTTTTTCCAATGTGATAGATTGATTTTTTTTTTTAATTTTGTCTGTCTACTGGCTATCAATTCTTTGTTGTACTATGGTCACTTCAAGCTTAATAAATCCCAAACATAAATCATCACTCCAGGTATTTACTTACTTTTTGTTCTTTGTCTTATATAATTGCAGTAGCATTCATAATTAGTAGCAATCTCACCTTCTTCCTCTTCTTCAGGCCATGTCTGAAACAGTATCTCACTATTTTCATTGTTGTGTGTTATGTGTTGAGGTTGAAGTCAGTGATTTCAATACACCAGTCACTCTGCTGAAGAAATACAACAGCCATTGAGTGGCTGTGGATGCATAGTTATCTTGTCAGGTTTCTGAGACTAGATTCAACAGGAAGAGATTGCCCATCTTTCTCCCACAGAGTGGTTGGTAACTTAGAACACCTTTACGTAGTCTTTGGACTAGTTGTATAGTTCTCAGAAACCCAGTTTAATGTTCCCAAGAATCAGAAGTGACTTGATGATCATGAGTTTGGCTTGAGGTTTGTCTATATAATTAGAGATTCTTTCTTCTTTGCTGTTACAAGACCACAAGTTGGCTGCCACACATAGCTCTAATAAGTCTAGCACAATGAATTTTTGCAAACTTTTATTATTAAGCTAAAGATAAGAAAATTTTATTGTCTGATTTACTATTTATATTTCCATAGATTTTACCTGTTTGTTGGCTATACATTTTCAAGAAGATTTTATATCACTGACTCAATCTGCTTCCCTTGACCAAAGTTACAGGATCTTTTGGGGATTACATACTTACTCAACAATCTATTTCATCTTTTATTCATGAGTTGTTTATATATGATTGTGCATGAATCTACTGCATTACAAACTCACAAAAAGCAAGTACTTTTCATGAATCCTAGTGGCTGGGGACATGGTCTGTTTGCAATTGTGCTGATAATTCAAAAGCCACAGGGCTCTGGTGGTCAAAATATCCCCAGCTCTATGGGGGAAAAATAGGAAATCTACTCCTGTGCAATTTTCAGTGTCAGATACTCAATCCTTAATTTTAGTTAAGAATCAGTTCAGACTTAATGAACACAGGAGCACTTACTTTGTGTGATGGTTTTTGTACTTCGCTTTGGATATGATGGGAACCTAATACTTACTGAATCAAGACATTATTAAAAAAAAAAAGAAGACTGACGCCAACTAGGGACTGTCCTAGAACTCAAGAAATGAGTGATGAGTTTATACCTTCAGCAAAATCATACAATATTGCCATTCTGACAGTATAGGAAGTGAAAATAAGATAAAATTACCACTTTGTAGTATTAGAAATGGTTCTTGAATGTAACAATCCTCGAGCTTTGTACATTAATGAAATCAAAATTTGAAATAAAAACAATGTTTTTGAAAAAGAACAAAACAAAACAAATGGAACAAGGGATACAATGAAGACTCTGACAGGGCTTGCTGGTTTCTTTGGCATGATTCATTGTTTGCCTTTTTGCAATCCAAATTATGAAAATGCCCCTTTTTTTTCTGCCAAGAAGTATCTAGTATATACTTATGTTAACCGTTTCTTTTTCTCATTTTTTGTGTATAAAACAATATGGAACATGGTAAAGTGAATGCCACTAAGGTGTGTTGATAGTTTTGATATTGTATTCTGTATTATAAAATTACAAGAAATAACACCAGTTTCAATGATTTGTAAACTGATCTTATGTTGTGATATTTGTTTGTATTGTGTTTTGACTATGTCCGGAATGCTGCTGTGTTCAAAAGCCTAAAAAATATATTGAAGGGAAATAAAATGCAAACAGGTTCTTGGAGAGATATTTTCCTTTCAACTGCTAATTGATAAGTATTAATAGCTTTTGAAACTCCTTTTGTCCTTCTGAGTGATGCAATCAACTAAGCGAAATAGGTTGGTCAAATAAAATCTTGAATGTCACACAACTGCTTTCTTTGTTTTTCTCCTTTTTCCCTGTCCAACTTTTGCTGCTGATTCTAAAACACAGCAGAGTCCAGAGATCTTAAGTAGGAAGTTAAGTATAAAATGACACCTCCTGCCGAGGTCATCTGAATGTGATTGGTGGGTCCCATAACACTTGCTCCAAAAAAGGAACTGATCCTTCTTGCAAGTGACTATAAAAACAAGAGTATATAGAGAAAGACAAAACAGAAGGAAGAAAAGAGAGTGGAGAGTTAAGATAGCTGACTGCTAATAACAGACAACAATTTTGAAGTCTTCCTTGTGTGGGCAGTGGGTTAAAAGGATGCTGATCATCTTTCTGAGCACTTTTGTGCTTCACTTCACTACTGCTGTTACTTCAGAACCGTAAGGGAATATTGTTCTCTTCATTTATATGAAAGTGATCTCATTTAATGTATTCTTTGTTAGAATTTTACTCTATTTCACCGTTTGAACTTCTGAGTCTTAAGTGCTAATATATCTTAAAACATTCAGACAAGTGGATGAAAGGAATTGACATCTTTGCTCTCTGCATAGCCAACTTCCTTATAAGCTTAACTAGGAAATGTGTGAATATGTCAGAATATATCAATGCTCTAAACTGTGTATTTAAATGACTGGTCTCCATTTTTCCTACACTTGTTTAGGATGTTGGTTATTTTCTTCTCATAGGCAGTATATCCTATGGATCTCTTCTGTGATACAGAGACATTCTACAGAAAAAACTTGTGTCCATCTTTTAAACCTTAATGAATCTGTATCTTTGAGTGTTATCTTAGAATATGATGGCGTCAATACCACTCTTTTTGATCAGTTTGTGGAGGAAAAGAATTTTTATACTTGTGCAAATTTCCAGGTAAGGCACTGAATTTGCCATTTCACAATTTGAGATAAAAAGGTGAAATAAGTATCTAAAATTTATTTTTAGAGAGAAATTGATTCTTGATATTTGAAGTGTGGGAAGTTGAGCAAAAATTAGAGATTTCTCAAGGGTCAAGAAATAAGTAAAGTCTACCATTTTACACACCCACCAGCAGTGTAGGAGAGTTCAAATCTCTCCACACCTTAGCCAGTATTTGTCTGCTATCCTGTTTCGCTTTGCTATTATTGCTGGGGCAAAATGACATCTCATTCTTGTTTTGATTTGCATCTCTCTAATAACTAGGGATTTTGAGCATTTCTTCAAAGAAATGATGCTGAATGAAATATATCTGTTACCAAAAGACAACTAGACCACTGCTATAAAAATAGGATGGACTTGGGTTGGGGTGATGAATAGATAAGGAATATTTCATTGGAATAGGTGAAGGAAAGAATTAGTTAAAAGAATGGGTGATTAGACATTATATATTTGACATGTATATCTGGAACAAGATGCGCATTACAAAGTGAATTGAGAAAGGGGTGGGGAGGACATATATACACATGAATGAATGAAAAGCCAATTTTTCTCTAAACTTTTACTCAATTAAAAAAAAAAAGAAATGTAAAATTTACATATGCAGCAAAAACTGTAAAATATTGCTATTCTTCCAAAGTAGGGAATGGCTGCAAGATATAATCACCATATTTTAAATAGTAGGAATGTTTCATGAGGAAAGGGAATTTGGATAAAAGTAAATAGAAAACTAAAGGACATAAAAATAAAGTCATTAGAAGTATTCTCATGCTAAATAAAGGAGTTGTAACAAGTGATTGTGGCCCATTTAAGAGATAATGGGTCTGTTATCTGTTTAAGAGATAATGGGATTGTTGTCTATTTAAGAGATAATGGGTTTGAGAAGACAAATTAAGATATTTATGATCTTACCATCTAAAAGGATTTTTCCATTTTGCTGTCCCCATAAACAGATCTCTCATAAATCCTCTGAACAATTGGCTTTTGTGACATTGTTGGCTAAGGGAGATACTCACAGCATTTTTGAGAGGAGATCTGTGGCCATCACTTCAGAAGAGACTGTTACCTTTGTGCAGACAGATAAACCCATCTATAAACAAGGAGAGAAGGGTGAGTGAATATAAAGTGGATTATAGGAGCACATTCTTTGACTTTATATTGTTGTTGCTCTTGTTATGTGCCTTCAATTCACTTGCGACTCATAGCAACCCTATGTACAACAGCTCTGAACCCTGATCTATTCTGAGTCAAACTTATGGTCTCTGACACACATACCTCATTACTCCAGTCACGGAATCAATTCATCTCCTCAAGGGACTTCCTCTCTTGCATTGTCCCTCCACTTTCCTTGCAACATGCCCAAATTTATCCTTATCATTATAGGATCCTTTCTTTCTCCTTTCCATCAAATCAGTAACATATCATAGCTGACTCTAATGGATTGCTATGAGTTGTACTTGACTCAACAGTACCTGAAAACAAACTGCATGAGAGATTTCCCATCTTTTTCTCTCAGAGTAGCTGGTGGATTTGAACCTTCTGCTTTTCGGCTGGCAAACCAAATCCTTACTGATTAGGCCACCAAGTGAATACTTCTCAAAGTTTTGTAAGCCACTTTCACTATTACTAAACTCTTGTAACAGGTTTGCATAATATAAAAGTTGCAAAAGCACAGACGTGGAGTAAAACTCTTTGGTTTGCATCTGGACTCATACTGTTTGCCTTCATTCTTTACCAGTCAGGCAAGTTAATTAAACCTCTTGCTTCCATTTCAATGGCCTTTAATTTCCTCATCTGCAGGATGCCCAACTGTCTTGATTATCTAACATTACTATATCAGAGACACCACAAATGGATGGTTTTAATAAATAGAAAAGTATTCTCTTACAATTTTGAAGGCTTGAAGTCCAGACTCAGGGCAGTAGCTCTTAGGGAAAGGTTTTCTCGGCCTCAACTATGGAGGAAAGCCCTTGTTTCCTTCAGTAGTTGTACTCCTGGTATTCCCTGGAGATCTCCCTGCGTCTTAGCTCTCCGAGCTTTCTTCTCTTTTTATGTTTGGTGAAATAAAAGATATTACAGGCCACACCCCAGAGAAACTCCCCTTGATTAGAGCTATCACAGAATTAAGGAGGGTTATATTACATCCTTAATCCTCCTACAACTATTTGGTTTATCTGATCATGGGGGATCGTTAATACAGTTTTCACTCTGCATCATTATATAAGTGGCCTTTGAGGGATGTAATTGAATTCTGTTCATTTTCTTCATACTGTTTTGACTCTGCTCCTTTATTTTTCAATTCCTTTTTCTTTCTAAGTTTTGCTGTCAGAGACTGAAAAGCTGTTATGAGGGATTTGTTCTTCACCTTTTTTCTAACCTTCCTGTTAGCTTTCTATGTATGCAGTGAAAACACAGGGTAAGATGGTGGGAACCTCATTAAATAGGCATGCAGAGAAAGGTCAAGAAACTTGGAGTAACATTTGAAAGCCTTTTGTAAGCATGACACCCCTTTGTGAACACACCATACATATATGAATAGTTCCAAAATTGCACACAATTGCAAGAAGAAAGTGAGGCTGGAGGTTTCCCTTTATCTTCTATGAATCACTGCTAATCAAGATTTTAAAGAGCTTTACCTAACCTGGTGTGACATCAAATATTTTGTTTCCTTGAAACAGATGAGGGAGTGAATAATTTAAAAGCAATGTAAGATAGGGTATTATGGTTATCACAAGAGTCCACAATTAAGGTTGCATAGTGGAATGTACTTGGGGCAGCGGGAGGGGTGTGGGGAGATTGTGTCCCAGGGAGGGAGTGTTTCTTTTACTTTTGAAAGAGAGGAGCGATCTTGGGGGTGGGGGGAGGGCTGGGCGGGGAGAGAAGTGCAGCAATGAATGAACAGAAATCCAAAATCTCTGTAAATGCTCATTAAAATTATGAAGAAAAAAAAGTATATTGTAATACAGAATGTGCTTTTACAAATCCCACTGTGTTCTATCTTAACCTCCTTGCCCTTCAGAGTCATTATTGTTAATTGCTTCAGAAACATCTCTATGAGCAAAATAAAGAGAGAAAACTGTATTGAGACCTATAAAAAGGGAATATTCCTTAGTCATCCACACTTGTGCTAGAATCATATGTTTCTAATGTACTCAATTTGAAAGCAGGAGTGACATCCAATTCCTAAACAAGACACCTCTAGAAACTCTATGAACTTTAATAAATGTCGATAGTTATAGAAAGGCTTCAGGCCTTTTGTTCCTAGGGTTGCTATGAGTTGTGCTTGACTCGATGACAGTCAACAATAACAATTGAACTCTGGCGTCCTAGTAGTTAAGGAGTTTCATTGCCAACTCAAAGACAAGCATATTATAGCCTCTGAAAATCCACTGGACGGAGGATCAGCTATGAGTTTGGATTGGATTTTTTGTTATTTCTTTTTTGAAAAAAATAAAATGAGAGTAGAATTCTTATAGTGACAGTCTTTCTGCCTTATATTCTCTTCTTTGAATTTATTAAAGTGTTAAGATAACTAATATGGATAAAATTCCATCTGAAATGGTTTTCATGGTATTCTGCTCAAATTAAGTTACTATTCCCTGACATAGACATTTTTTTTCCAGGAAAATTATGCTCTCTCCTACCATACATAAGTGAACTTATCTTTTTATGACTAACTCTGTCACCAACCTCTCTGACATAATTTTATGTTAGGCACAGCTAGCGTCAACTATAGAAAAACATAGTATCATGAGCTGAGAAATAATGGGTACACAGAAAAGTTTTTTACAAATGAAACAAAAAGATCAAAGGATTAAAATAAAAACAAGAGGGAGAGCAGTATTCTATGATTAAAAACAAAACAGAACACGATACACACACTCACAAACCCCAAAAAACCACCCAAATAAACTAAAAAATGCATTGCCATCAAGTTGGAACTGACTCTAACTGTCCCTCCATGGGGCTTCTGAGACTGTAAATCACATGGGAGGAGATTGCCTCTCTCTTTGTGAAATAGCTGGTGGAATCAGTCTGCCAGAGAGATGTCACTTTGCAGTTAGTAATGGGCTGGGCCCTATAGAAGAGGTCATGACAGCTCTCTCTGTTCTATGATAGCTTGAAAGACAGTTTCTCTTTTTTTTTTTTTTTTTTTTTTTTTTTTTTTGGGAAAGACAGTTTCTTTTTGTATTTATAATCAGGTTGGAGAGAGAAAAGTGACAGTGAGAAATATTGTCTCTCTTCTTTATTTTTCAGTTCTATTTCGTGTCGTGACATTGGATATTAAGTTCAAGCCTGTTGCAGATTTGGTAAACTCAACAGTTTCTAATGGCTCAATGAATTTTAAACAAATTAATTAAACAAATCCATTGCTATTCAGAGTGTTTTCAGGAAGGTTTCTGTATGTGTTAAAATAGATTCTAACATAACATGGAATTGTATATAGCTGTACCTCAATGCTAAAATTAAAGTGTAAAACCTTAATTTATAGAGTTATACATCTTTAGGTTTTTTTCATTAAGTATAGTGAAAATCGATTTCAAGGGACCCACTTCCCCCTTCCCAGAAGATCTTGGTTACCTTTTGGGTTTTCTTGGTATCTTTGGATATAGAAATCCTGTCCTCTGGGAAAGTGAGGATTAGGTTTCAATACTTAAGAAACCATATCATCTTTATAGTACTATATTCAGCAAAAAAAGAATATTCTATTGCATTCTATTAACCAGCATTTTTTTCCCTCCTCCTTTCCAGTATCCTTTAATTATAATTCAGGTAAGAGTTCTGTTTTCCCCAAATATATAATTTAAATTTTTTATCTAAATAGTGATGTGTGTCTAATTGTAGCTAAATTATAGCAATATATGTATTGAATGAGCTCATGTAAGTTGTAATACAAATCAATATGCTGAAATAAATTGAAAAGGGAATGATATCAACCCTTTCTTACTACAGAATTTCTACTGATCAGCTTTTGCCTGTGTAACCAATTTATATATAAACCAGGTGAAGCTTCTCATTGTTGTGCACCATTGAGTCAGAACTGACTCAAAGCTGACCCTTTTTTGTGTATTTTTATTGTCTATAAATCTCAGAGAAGGAGACTGCCCATCTTTTTCCTGTGGAACAGCCGACAGATTTGAACAGCATGCCTTCAACCTGAATAGTATGGCAGTGCAACTCCTTACCACTTAGCCACCAGAGCTCCCTACTTGAAATTTATACAGTGTCAATCTCTATAAGTATTTGTTAGAAAATTAATACCTTGATGCACCTCTTGGTGTGTCCACTCACTTTAAAGTGACTTTATCATGCCCTTCTACTGCATCCATATTGAGTTTTTAACTCATTCATTTTTCAACTCTGGTTCAGAGAGATGAAGTTAAAATTATTACAATTTTTTCTTTATATTTTAGGCTTAAAAATGATACATTATAAAATTTGCATAATTTGAGGAATATTAATTAAGATACAGAAACTATAACGTTTTCCAATTTGAGATAATTGATGTAAAATATTAGGGCCCTTTTTACTTTCATTAACCACATAAAGGACAGAGAAAAAATAATGCTCCTTAAGTCACCTCTGATTGTTTTTTTATATATTTCTTTTCTAGGATCCTAAAGGCAATAGGATTTTTCAGTGGCAAAATGTGACTTCTACTCAAAATATTACCCAGCTTTCATTCCAGTTGACTAAAGAACCAATGTTGGGAGATTATTCAATTATCGTGAAGAAAAAATCAGAAAAGACAGTGAGCCACCAATTTACTGTTAATGAATATGGTAACTAATCTCTATTTATGCTATTTATAGTTGCCCAACAATAATAAAGGGAGCTCTGGTAGCTTAGTGGTTAAAGATTGGCACTGTCAATCCAAAAGAACATGGTTACAATCCACCAGCCAGGATTTAGAATTCACAGGACTGAAAAGAAAGAGTTCAATGAAATGGAAAAAAATAAACCAAAACAACCTAACTGTTTTGCTGGACATAGGCAAAAGTAGGTGATGCTGGCTTTGGTTCTCTGCTATCTTACTTTCTTGATTTTTTTTTTTTTAAACTTTATCATTCCTGCTTTTCAACTCTGGACCTCAACTTTAAATATCTCATAAAATTGACCAGTAGTCAACTTTTAAATATCTCTTTTTTCAATTCAACTTAATACTTAAAGGGCCTGAATGATTGCAAATAAATAAAATGTGAAATCTTGAGAACAGAAAAGAGAATAATAAATAAATAAAGAGGGAAAACTAATGGATAATGGAAAAAAAATTGAGATGCTGGGCAGTCTGGTACTGTGGATGATTTTGGACCATTGGAACTTGGCCTGTAAAGATATACACATAGGAAAATATTGTGCATGAAGCTATATTTCCCTACATGAATCTTGTTCAACTTTGCTCACAGGTAATTATGACAACTGAAGTAAATATATTTTTCTTTCCTTTTTTCCAGTTTTGCCCAATTTCGAAGTTATAATCAATGCACCAAAAACAATAACTATTTCAGATGATGCGTTCCAAGTGACTGCATGTGCTAAGTAAGTAGTTATTAAGGACACTTGTCTTATAGATCAATGTAATCTCAGAAAACATTGTGTTGTTGTTGTTAAGTGCCATTGAGTCATAGGCAACTCGTAGTGACCCTTTGAATGAAAGGCCTGGACACTTGTATAACTTTCATCCTTTCTCCAGGTTTGTAGAGTTTCCAGAGGCAAGCTATTTGGGAAGTGGATGCCACTCCTGCTTCCAATCAGAAAACATTAGAAAGGAAATTAATCATGGAGCTTGATATACTTTTATACATTGTATTAATGCATACTTCTACAATGAAAAATAATGAGTTAGCACTGTAAAATATTTGAAAAATATAAAGAAAATATTAAAAATAAAAGGCCGTCAACTTCCATTTGTATTTATTTTCTTCAAATATTTTGCCCACACACAACTGTCTTTTATAAGTATATTCCAGTCATAGATGATGGATGTTTAAAATAATGGGATAACCAATGTAGACTTGAAGACAATCAAGATCCAAAATTGACTTTACTAGAAAAACTCTACACAAACACAGGGATTTTTACTGCAATTAATATCTCTAACTAATTTACCTGCTTAATGGCTGAGATGCTATCAATTGTCCCATTGGTGAGAATCTTTGTTTTCTTGATGTTGAGCTTCAATCCATATTGAAGGCTGCAATCCTTGACCTTCTGCAGCAAGCGCTTCAGGTCTTTCTCAGTTTCAGCAAGCAAGATTGTGTCATCTGCATAATGCAGATTGTTGATGAGTCTATCTCTAATCCTGATGCCACATTTCTCCTCATAGAACTCATCCTCCTGGATAATCTGTTTTGCATATAGATTAAGAAGATGTGGAGATAGGACACATCCTTGGGGCACACCCTGCCCAATTTTGAACCATGTAGTATTTCCTTTCTCTGTTCTGATGACTGTTTCCTGGCCCAAGTATAGGTTTCACATAAGGACAATCAAGTGTTCTGGGATTCCCACTCTTTTCAGAGTCAGCCACCATTTATTATGATCTACAGTCAAATGTCTTTGCATAGTCAATGAAACAGAGATAAACATTTCTCTGGTACTGAGAATTCAGCCAATATCCACCTGACATTAGTTATACTATCCCTAGTACCACGGCCTCTTCTAAACACAGCTTGCACTTCAGGAAATTCTCCATTGATGTGCTGTTCCAGTAGGTTCTGGATAATTTTCAGCAGAATCTTGCTTGTATGTGATATTAATGATATTGATTGATAATTTCCACACTCTGTTGTGTCACCTTTCTTTGGAATGGGAACAAATATAGATCTCTTCCAGTCAGTATGCCAAGTTGTCATTCAGATTTCTTGGCACACTTGATGAGCACATCCAGAGCAGTATCTGTTTGTTGAAATATGTCAATTAGTATGCCATCAGTTCCTGGGGCATTGTTTTTTGCCAATTCTTTCAGAGCAGCTTAAACTTCTTCCTTTATCACCATAGGCTCATTCTCATATGTTTGTTTCATGAAATTCTTCTGTGCCCGCCAATTCCTTTTGGTGCAGTGACTCTGTATACTATCCATCTTCTTTTAATGCTTTCTGGATCATTTAATATTCTGCCCAAAGCATCCATAAGTATTGAAACTTGAGGTTTGAATTTGTTCTTCACTTCCTTGAGCTTAAGAAATGCTGAGTGAATTGGGCCCTTTTGATTTTCTAACTTCAGCTCCTTGCATATTTCATTGTAATACTTTTCTTTGTCTTCCCAAACTGCCCTTTGGAATTTTCTGTTCAACTCCTTAACATCTTGATTTCGTTCCTTTTTTTGTCTTCTTGGTGCTCTAGTATAATACTCAGAGGGAGTTTTTTTGTGGTGTTTGTTTTTTTTTTTTTTAACTTCCATCTTGGTCTTTTCTTTCTCCTCTATCTTTACAATGACTTTTTTGCATTCTTCCTGAAGGATATTCTTGATTGTCAGCACAGTGATTAATGGTGAAGAGATTGAGATTATAAACAACTTCAGTTTACTTGGCTCTACTATCAATACTCTTGGTACCAGCAGCCAAGATTTTTTTTTCATTTAAAAAAAAATTATTTATTTTATTTTACATTCATTTATTGTTGCACACGTTCCTCCCTGCCCATTCCTCCACATCCCTCCCTGTCCCCCAGTTCACTTTTCTCTTTGACAAGTTAAAGAAAAATAAATTCTTTCACTGTTATACAATCTCCCCACCCAGTCTACTCCACTATGCAGGGTGTGTTCTGGACTCTTGTCATGACAATAATACCTAATATCACATTCCTCTTAAATAGTACTCTCCCTCATCTGTTTCAATGCAGTATGTATTATTTATCCACACTAAGTTTTCCCCCAACTCCGATTTCATTCCCACTTTACAACAGTGACACTATGCAGTATCTATTGTCACTGAGATATTTCACTCAGCATAATGTCCTCCAGGCTCACCCATTTTGTGCAATATTTCATAAGTTCCTTGTTTTTCAATGTAGCATAGTATTCCATTATGTGAATATACGACAGCTTCTCTAGCCATTAGTTTTTTGATGAGCACTTGGGTTGTTTCCAACTCTTTGCTATTGTAAACAAAGCCACAATGAACATGAGTGTGCATATATCTGCTTGGGTGGCAGTTCTGGTTTCTTTAGGGTATATTCCCAGTAGTGGAATTCCTGGTTCAAATGGTATTTCTATTTCCAACTTTTTGAGAAAGCACCATATTGCTTTCCATAGTGGTTGCATTTGCACCATTTTATACTCCCACCAGCAATGAATAAAGGCTCCAGTTTCTCTGAGGTGTCCAGGATCTCCCTGTTGACTGAGTTAAGGGGTCCCATGTAATCAAGCCAGGCAGCAGTTTTTCCCCCAAATAACAGTGAGAGCAGCACAGGCAGCACTGACCAGCTTCCTGCCTCAATGTCCTGAGTTCCTCCAGCTAGGAAATTAAATGACTAATTGTATTGGTGAAAGTCTGCTGTCAGAGACCTCTCCAAAGTAACAATGTCAGTCTGGAGTCTAAAGTGCACCTGAAACAGGCAATTACTAGCTATGCATCAGAAAGCTGGACAATGACTAGGGATGATAGGAGGAGAATTGATGCCTTTGAGCTGTGGTGCTGGATAAGCATATTGAATATACCATGGACTTCTAGGAGAACAAGCAAGTTTGTCCTGGAGAGGGTGAAGTCAGACTGCTCCTTGGACGTAGCGATTCTGAAGCTCCATCTGACATAGTTTGGATATGTTGCAAGGCGGGATCAGTCCTTGGAGAGGGTCATCATGCTTAGGAGGGTGGAGGGACAGTGTGAGAATGGAAGACCCTTGGTGTGAGGGATTGATTCAGTGACTGGGGTAATGGGGGTAGTTGTGTCAGAGACAATAAGATTGGCACAGGATAGAGCAGGGTTTAGGGCTGTTGTACATACAGCTGCTGTGAGTCACAGGTGACTCAATGGCACATAACAACAACAACAACAAAGGCTGAAAAACCAAAGCAAAGGGAAGAAATCAGCAAGTTAAGGAGCTGGATAGAAGATTACAAAGGACATCTACAGAAGACAAAACAAAGTATTATAATAAAATGTGCAAAGAGCTAGACTAAGAAAATAAAGAGGGTTGAACTAGCTCAGCATTTCTTAAGCTAAATGAACTAAAGAACAAATTCAAGCCTTGAGTTGCAATAGGATACTATAGGCAGAATATTAAATGATTCAGGAATCACCAAAAGAAGATGGAAGAGGTACAGAGTCACTGTACTGAAAAAGAACTGGTCAATACAAAAGTATCTCATGAAAAAAGCTGTGTTCAAGAAGCAAAGGTGATGGAGGAAGAAGTTCTAGCTACTCTGAAGGAATTGGTAAAAAGCAAGTCCCCAGCAATTGATGGAATACCAACTGACATATTTAAACAAACAGGTGCAGCCCTGGAAAGGCTCACCAAGTTGTGGCAAGAAATCTGGAGAACAACTACCTGGCCAACAACTGACTGGAAGAGAGATCCATATTTGTTTCCATTTCAAAAAAAGGTGATCCAGCAGAGTGTGGCAAATATAGAATGATATAACTAATATCTTATGCAAGCAAAATTATGCTGAATATTATAAAAAAAAAACTTGGAACAGTACATCAACAGAGAACTACCTCTGTTTGGCAGAGTCAAGGGACAGCATAGTAGAGCTATGAGTTGCAGTTGACTTGATGGCACATAACAACAATGGCATATTTAAAAATTATGACATGGATCCCGGAAGTTAAAATGTCCACTAGGTCTGATACTCAGTATTATGCCATTTTCTTTTATTTTGTTATCTGACACAATTGCCCTATGTATTTGTAAAGCCTAATCTTATTATTAGAATTGTTATTATGTACCTTGAAGTGCAAACTGATTCATAGCTGAACTTCCAGTGGGTTTTCAGAGGCAGTAAGTTACACTAGAAGATACTGAAGATATTGATTATCTTTTCTAGATTTCACAGGCTCACAGATGAGGAAAAGTTTGGCCCAGAAAGATGCTGGACTTATAATTTATTTAAAACTTTGAGGATGAGATGATGGAATGTATTACATGAATTTTTTGAGGGACAAAGAGTGAAATGAATTCCGTATTTTATCCTCAAAATATGTATCAACTTGGCTAGTCCTTTAGAAGCAATTATGTTAATAAGTCATGATATAATCTATAGTATTAAATTGTATTTTGAGTTATTTCCTTTGATATTTTTTAGAAGTGATTAAACAAGCAATCAGAAAGCAGAGGAACCCTGACTAGCACCAGAAAAAAGAGCTAGGGGTCGTACAAGTTCTCAGGGACCTGGAGTTCCTATACCAAGAACGTCCTATATCAAGGGTCAGATTGATGTAAAAATATATGGAAATCTCAGTGGAACACTAGTCCCACAGATGCTAAAAGGAGGCAAAGATTTTACCTAAGAGTCAACAGAGAGAAAAAGTCTTTTCCTTAGAGCTGACATCTTTAGTTTGGATTTAGTCTTTGAAAATTGTAGTAGTATGTCCAGAGACCAAACCAAAGGGAAGAAATGATAAAAGAGATGGTCTAAAGATTTCAAAAGACAGCTTAAGAAGACAAAGCAAAGTATGATATTAGAAAGTGCAAAGAGCTAGAAAAAAATTCAAAAGGAAGAAATGGCTCGGCATTTCTCAAGTTGAAAGAACTAAAAAACTAATTCAAGCGTCAAGATGCAATATTAAAGGATATTAGGTGGAAAGTATTGAACAGTGCAGTTAGCACCAAAAGACAAAAGAATCACAAAGTCTACCTCTCTCTCTCACCACCCACCCCCATACAGTTAACTTGAAGGTGCTAAACAACAACAACAAAAAATTATGGAAGAATTTAATTTTTTTATGGTAATCTACTTATGGAAGGAATATACTGAATCATTGTATCGAAAGGAATTGGCAGATACAGAAGAATTTAATGAAATAACATTTGAGCAAGAACCTATGGTGATGAAGGAAGAAGTTTAAGCTGCTTTGAAGGAAATAGCCAAAAATAAGGCCCCTGGAATAGATGGTATACCAATTGACATATTTCAGCTAACAGATGCTGCCCTGGACGTGCTCACCAAGTTGTGCCAAGAAATCTGGAGAACAACCACTTGGCCAACTGACTGGAAGAGATCTATATTTGTTCCATCCCAAAGAAGGGTGACCCAACTGAGTGTGGAAACTACAGAACAATATCATTGATTTCACATGCAAGCAAGATTCTACTGAAGATTATCCAAAAATGACTGGAACAGTACATCAACAGAGAACTGCCAGAAGTCCAGGCTGGGTTTAGAAGGGGTCATGGTACTAGGGATATTGTAGCTGATGTTAGATGGATCTTAGCTGAAAGCAGAGAATACCAGAAGAATGTCTATCTGTGTTTTATTGATTATGCAAAAGCATTTGTGTCAGAGGCAATGCGATTGGCACAGGATAGAGCAGGGTTTAGGGCTATTGTACATAGGCTCGCTATGAGTCGCAAATGATTCCACGCCACATAACAACAATAACGACAATCTACTTACGGTATTTCTGTTTTAATTAACACTGGATAACCAAGACAATTATGTATGAATTTAGAAAAAAAATGTATTTATTTAAGCCCTGATACCTTAACCCTACTTTTTGTTTCAAATTCATCAGCAACTCTGACAGGAAAAGATAGACAGCCTTCTCCTGTAAAGACTAATAGAAACCTAATTGAAGATTGCTATGAGTCAAAAACAGTCCCAACAGCAGTGAGTTTGGTTTGGCTTGGCTTTACTGATATGTTATGGTTTTGGTAAACACAGGCCTGACCTTTTATATGTATTGAGTGGTAAAATAAGAATCTTTTAAAAATAAATTAACTTCAGAATACTACATGATTCTGAATTTTCCAGTGGTTTTTTTTTATGCTTATGTATTTCTGTCACAGAAAAGAAAGCAACATAACCAGTTTTTAAAATACTTTGGTAAGATTTAGTTCTGTCTAATTATTATGCTTTAAATCTGACATACTACATTATTTTAGATTCTACTTTACTTTGAGGGCACTCTAGTAGCTTAGTGGCAAGGAACTGCAATTCACACTCAAATGTACATGGTTCAAATTCACCAGCTGCTGTATAGATGAAAGATGGGCGGTCTCCTCCTGTGTGATTGACTGTCTCTGAAATCCCACTGGAGGGGTTGACTATGGATCTGGTCTGACTGGACACTACACAGCAAAACTTTATTTTTAATTTCCTTTTAAAAAAAGAAGAAAACCAGATCAAATGTCCAATTTAATCTAAATTCTATGAGGAAATAGTATCAAGATAGGAGAGCTGCCAGCTGAATTATGCGAAATGGCAGTACATGGTTTAGGGATTTCAAAGAATTTCTTTTTAAAGGAGGCCATAGAACATTGTTATGGTATGGTCCATCTGTAATCACAAGCATCCTCTCTCTTGCTAGGTATACCTTTGGCCAACCTGTGCAAGGGAAAGCCCAAATCCAGGTGTGCAGAAAATTTTACTCCTCCACCAACTGTGGGGAAGACAATGAAATCTGTGAGCGGTTCGTCACACAGGTATAGGCCATGATCTTTACTCTGAAAAGTTTCTCTCCTGTTTTAAATGATTACTCTTTGATTCTATCAATGAAAGATAATTAACAGTATTATTGCTTTCATTTTTAGAGTAATGGAGGTTGTGGTTAAATGGGGTGAAGACTGAGGGAAGGCACAGTGTTCCACATCAGTCATTTTCTCTCTGTTATGCACCATGGGATGGCAGCCAACTCACAGCTGACCATCCAGTGGGTTCTTAGGGGCAGTAAATCTCATGGGAAGAGACTGCTCATCTTTCTCTCACATCTTCTCTCTAGGTCACATAATTTGTCCACTGACTATTGTCATTAGATTTTTAGAATTCAAAAGCTCTTATTGACTTCCTCGTTTTATAGCAGACTCACTAGGTGGCTTTTTGTAATTGCTTTGGAAACTCATTAATCATTTTGAAATGAAAGGAATCCCTGATGCTACAGGAGGAGGATTATCCAATCAGTAAGTTAAGCACAGCCTTAATTGTGCTTTAGAGCTGATTCAGCCACCTGTAGTGAACATGTGAAACTATTTGCTGCAAATTAGTAAGTAATGGAGTAATTCTAAGTTTACTTGCTTGCTGAGTGGGTACTTTGCTACTAGTTTTGTTGTTAGGTGCCCTTGAGTCTGAAAATTTGAAAAGAAGCTTTGATTCTGTGGGAAGATGCTATTATATTAGAAGAAGAGACAGATGACAGTCATAGCTAGAAGCAGAATCTTTAGCTTAGTGAAAAATAAGTGACATTGTTTAGGGTCTCTGTGAGTTCTGGTGTGGACAAAAAGAATAATAAGCACAAGGAAGCCAGTGTTCACCTTACTTATTGAGTAATTGTGAGAGCAGCTAATTTGCAAGCATTTACAGTTCACAACATCTACTTTTGTTACTTTTATGTGCAGTTGCTGTTGGAAACCACTCTTTGTTTTCTCTATCTTCCTTATCTTAGTTGACAAGAAGTCTTTATTTATGGTGTTCTAAATATGCAGAGTAAAACTGCTCCATAGGTTTTTCAAGGCTGTGACTTTTTTTTAATTGAAATTTTAATCAAAGTTTACAGAGCCTTTGGATTTCCGTTCATAGACTGCTGCACATTTTACTTTCTGCCCACCCCTCCCCCCTAGTTCTCTTTTCTCTTTGAAAAGAAAAAAAAATTCTTTCATTGTTATACAATCCTGGCCCTGCCAGTCCAATTTACTATGCAGCTCTTATTCTGGACTGTTGTCATGAAAATAATACCTAATCATATATTCCTTTTAAACTGTTCTCTCCCTAATCTGTTTCAATGCAGTATACATTATTTATCCCCTCTTTTCTTAGGTTTCCCCCAACTCCCATATCAGTTCTGTTTTACAACAGTGGCACTACGCAGTATTTGTCCTTTTGTGACTGAGATGTTTCACTTAGCATAATGTCCTCCAGGGTCACCCATTTTGAAAAATATTGCATGAGTTCCTTGTTTTTCAATGCAGCATAGTATTCCATTGTGTGAATATACCACAGTTTTTCTATCCATTCATTTGTTGATGGGCACTTGGGTTGTTTCCAACTCTTTGCTATTGTGAACAAAGCAGCAGTAAACATGGGTGAGCATATATCTGCTTGGGTAACAGTTCTGCTTTCTTTAGGGTATATTTCCAGTAGTGGAACTGCTGGGTCAAATGGTATTTCTATATCCAATTTTTTGAGAAAGAGCCATACTGCCTTCCATAGTGGCTTATTTTTCAGAAACAGATCTTTTCTAAGATGTTTCTGGGTGGGTTTAATATGATCTTTCACCTGTAGCTGAGTACTGATCGATCCATTGCCCAACCTAGGGATCCCTGTAGCATCCTAGTACTTACTATACTGCCGCTCTCAAGTAATGAACAACTCTGTTCTTCTTCTGATATTCAAACATAAACTTTGTATATACCACACAGTTTATATTTTAAGATTATTATTTAATTTATATGCCAAAGTAGTAGAATGAACAGTCTTTACATCAATAACACAATATTAGCCCAAGTAATCTAGAAGACTGTTGATGTGCTGTTCCAGTCCCTATCTTCATATGAGAGATTTTATTTGTTAGAGAACGAGTACTTAGAGTGGATTTCTTAAGCTACAGAAAAGATACAGGTAGGTGTATAGAAAGACTAGAGAGAGATAATGATACATAATGTTAGCTTTAAGAATATTACCATGTCAAAAAAAGTATTTAAAAGTCCAAATACCTCTCAGCAATACCAGAAAGCTAGACACCTGACTTATGGATACTTCTTAAGTGTCTTTTAAATTAGAAAAAATTTCAACCTTGGTGCAACCACTGTGGAAGGCGGTATGGCACTTTCTGCAAATAGAGACCCAGCAATTCCACTACTGGGAATACACCCCAAAGAGACCATACCTGACATCCAAGCAGATATATGCACACCCATGTTTATTGCGGCTTTGTTCACAATAGCAAGGAGTTGGAAACAACCTAAGTGCCTATCAACAAGTGAATGGATAGAGAAGCTGTGGTATATTCACACAATGGAATACTATGCTGCATTGAAAAACAAAGAACTCATGCAATATTTTTCAAAATGGGTGACCCTGGAGGACATTATGCTGAGTAAAGTATCTCAGTCACAAAAGGATAAATACTGCATGGTGCCACTGTTATAAAACAAGACTGACCTCGGAGTTTGGGGGAGACTGAAAAAAGATGGGTTCTATAATGTATACTGCATTGATACAGATGAGGGGGGAAACTGTTTAGAAGGGATATGTGATTAGGTATTTTTGACACGAGAGGAGTCCAGAGCAAAGGCTGCATAGTGGAGTGGACCTGGAGGGAGGGATTGTAAAACAATGAAAGAATTTTTCTTTTACTTTTCCAAGAGGTTAGTGTACTAGGGAAGAGGTTTGGGAGGGGAGAAAAGTGCAACAATGAATGAATGGAAATCCAAAGCCTCTGTAAATTTTCATTGAAATTAATAATAAATTTTAAAAAAATTTCAACCTAAGCCCTGCAACGGGGGACTCAGGAAAGGATAGTAATTGTTTCCAGAAACTTGATAAATGAGATTGGAGCACTGGGGGGAGCGTAGAAGCATGGCACACTGGCCAGACAGGGCAGTTATTTGAGTGAGATGCCATCAATTTTGGGTGGGATAGTCCTGCTTCAGATGTACTTCAAATCTGATTGCTATGCCACATCTATTCTGTCCTTTTTACAGAAGAGGGAAATAATGTATCTAGCATGACTTTGTCAGATAAATTTTTCTATTCTTTTTGTTCACTTTAACTTTTTGAAAATTTTCATGTGTTTTTGGGACATTCTCTTAGCCATGACTGAACCTGGCAAACCCTGCAGGCAACACTAGCAAATTCTTAAAGTGGGGACCAGATCTTGTGCAAAATCTGGGGGTGGTCTTTATATTCTCCATTGATAATCCTCCACTTTAAAAATTACTGCCAGAAATTTCTTTGTTGTTGTTTAGTGTTGTAGAATAGTAACTACGTCATAGCTTACCCTCCAGAACGTTTTCAGAGGCAGCAGATCAGAGTAGTAGATCACCTGTCTTTCTCCTGCAGAGCAGATGGTGAATTTTAAACCATGTGCCTTTAGGTTGCAACACAGCATTTTAACAGTAGGCCATCAGAGCTCCTTCCAATATTTTTAATATATATGTAGGAATCTAAAGGATTTTTCTAGTTGGCTAGAAATGCATTTTAAGTTTACTAGTAATTTTACCTAATTAGAGAACTCTGGTGGCTTAGTGGTAAGAATTGCCATCCCAAAGGCATGTGGTTTGAGTCCACCAGCTGCTCTATGAGAGAAAGATAGACACTCTCCTTGTAATTTACAGACTCTGAAAACTCACTAGAGGGTCAGGTGTGAATCAATTCCAACTCATAATAACAGTGAGTTTGAGCATGACTTTGTTGTATATTTTGTTACCAAATTAGATTTGTTCTTTTGTAAACTGCAGTATTGTTGCTGCTGTTAAGTGCCATCTTTTGTTTTTCCACACCTTTTTTGAAAAGTTCAGTTTGATTAATATGATGTTTTCCCAATCTTTGCATATCTTTTTCTAAAGTATTATTTCACTGTAAAATGAATTCTCTCTATAATTCCTCAAATCCTCCTCCTGACTAGTAGTATACCTCATCTAAAAACGAAAACCGGTTGGGTTTTGTTTTTAGTGGGAAGATGTTTAATTATTCAACCATTCTGCTCTTGTAAACACCTGAATCCATCATGTTTTGTTTATTATGATTGAGTCTTTAAATTCAAGCCAACTCATTCATGCTTGGCCAATCAATGTGAGTCTCTCCTGTAAGGCCTTTGATAACTGCTAATACTTGCCAGCTTTCTAGTGTAGAGTTTTTCCTCTTCCAGTTGAAATTGTCTTATTTAAAGAATATTGCCCTGTATCAGAGTCTGTGAGTGTTGTAAATTATTAACATGCTGGGAGATTAATCAGAAGAAATCTGGGCTGTTTAAGTCCACAGAGAAGTACCCCATAAGAAAGGCCTGGAAAAATCAGGTATTTAAAACCGTGTGGAGTATATTTCCAGTCTAACACATATGGAATCCCCATGAATCAGAACCTGGGTTTTTTGGTTTATTTGTTTGATTGGTTATTGTTATTATTTATCTTTTAAAAAATAGTTTATGCTTGTTAGTGCTTTTTTTATATATATTAAAATCCCTATTTGTGAATTTCTAGCCTTAGAAATTCACCTGCTACACTGAGGAAGAAAGACGATCTCCTTCTATTTGATTTCTATAGCCTCTGAAAAGCAGCTGGATGGTTGGTCAGCTAGAAGTCAGTTCTGACTAGCAAGCTAAACAGCTAGCCTTAGAGAAATGTTTTACTTGTCTCTCTGCTGTGCGGGTGGCATGTAGGCATATATTGATTATTCTAACTCATATAATTTCCATCAAGTCAGAACTGACTCTCTGCTAATGCTCCAGTGGGTGTTTAGGAGGCTATAAATGGAACAGAAGGTAATTGTCCCTCTTCCTGCCCCAAAGCTGCTGGTGAATTCAAACTATGTGGGTTAGCAATATGACTCTCTACAGACTATACCCTATGATGATTATTATGGATAGTGATTTCTCGAAACCATTTGCATTTATTATGTTTTAAAATAAAGACTCAAAACTCATAGACAGGGAGCTCTGATGGCGTAGTGGATAAGGGTTGCCCTAAAAACACAAAGGCATGCCTTTAAAATCCACCAGCTGCTCTGTGACAATCTCCTGTTAGAGGATTTTACAACTTCTGAAAAGCCTTTACAGGGTCGGGTATGAATCAGTTCTAACTTGATGGCACAAAATAACATAACAAAATAAAAACAGAAAATTACGTGTGCTAACACCTAATCTTGAGCACATTTGCTCTCCTTATTTATTCTAAATCATGTTCATAAAAGATGTATCATTTCATGAGTCTTTGTTCTACTTTAGGGTTATATTTTACTTCTAATACTTTTCGAGTTTCTACATAATTTACGCTTATATTAATTCCTACTCCAAATTTCCGTGTTTTTAAATTGATGTTTTTAGTGTGCTAGCTACTTCTTATAACTAACATATTTTAAGTTTTCCTTTAAAAACAGTTTCACACCATAGATTTTATTTTGGTACAAGACATGTTTGCCTTTATGCAACTATTTAGATAATTACTGATTTTTTCTTTTGGATTTAAGGATTATTGAAAATTATTATTTAAGTAATTAAAATTCCTCTCATCACTTCTATTATTTGGTTATAATTTGGTTACATTATACGTAGTATAAACTCTGGAGTCAGAACATCTACTCAACTCGAGCACCTTTTAGTTAAATCAGTTTGGGCAAGTTACATCTTCTACATGTGCTGCTGTTTATTCACCCATATAATAAGCATAATTACTCTGCCTGGCTCATATAGTAGTGTTAAGAATAGAATTAATGAATATATACTAACATCTTAAGCTCATAATTAATCATATTTTTTCAATTTTAAAAAATAACTGAATTTGTATTTCCCTAATTATTGGTGCTACTAATGAAAGATTACAGATTTTAGTTTTATTATTTAAACTGCACAATTTATATGAAATATCAGTGTTTTATATATATATAAATTTCAAATATATATATAAATTTCAAATATATATATAAATTTCAAATATATATATAAATTTCAAATATATATATAAATGTCAAATATATATATATATGTTTCAATAGTACTTCTGTTTCATCTTGAGAGAAAGATCTCTTCCTATAGGGATTTACAGCCTTGGAAACTCATGTTGGACCCCCATGAATCACAATCAACTGAGCAGCAGTGGGTTTAGTTCTTTTATTTCCTTTCCATCTGTCCCTTCGTCCTTCATAGAAATGAAAATTTTATGTAGGCATTGTGATCATTTGTCTTTTACTATTCTCATCTACCATACTTTTAAATCTTGTTACATTTCTCTTCATTTTTCATTGAGAGGTGAAATTCTTGGACTTGTATTCCATACAATTTACTTAATTTTCTACAGTGTTGATGTGGCTTTTGAGTCTTTCAAGGTGATTTTAATTTTTCACTCCTTTAAAATCATTCAGCTCTATTATAATCCTTTGCTTTAGTGTCATCCACACTGTTTCCAGCTATTTCTAAGGAATAACTATGAAATTTCAAAATATGTAACTCACTTGTCTTGTTTTAAATAGTGGCAAGAAAAAAAAATTAGTCCTTTTCACCATCCTCTTCCTTCCTAAGAGAGTAGTCACTGAGCAGACAGTGGGGAGGAGTGAGGGGGGAAATTACGTATCTGTGTTAAAGTTTCTGTTATTTTTTAAGACCCTTGACTCCTTTTTTTTCTCCACTTTTCTCTTACAGTTGAAAAGTGGGTGTGCTTCTCAACTTGTAAATACAAAAGTCCTCCAACTCTACCAATCTGGATTTTTCATGTCATTTTCTATAAAGGCAGTTGTTACAGAAATTGGAACAGGTAAATTATTTTATGGGCAATTTGGGGATACACAGTAGCTTACTGAAGTTTGTTGAGTCAGTACAAAGTACCAAAGACAGATCAAATTACTGCTCAGAACAGCCTAATGAAGTTCATTTGCCAATATAATCAATTGAGGATTAGTCTTGAATGATATTTAAAATAATTTTTATCATATACGTATTACATGCTTATATCTGTTTCTGTACTTGGGTCAGTCAGGGAAATTGCCCTCTGAAGTAGTAGGCTGAGCTAATAAATTAACTGTACTGGAGCATCTCTTTTTAACTTAATGTTTATCAGCTGATGAACTGTTGCCCAGCAATTGATAGGCCAAATACCACGGGAGCTACTGTTAAATCCACTCCAATTCAGGGTGACCCCAAATGTGTCAGAGTAGAACTGTGCTCCATAGATTTTTCAACAGTCGATTTGTCAGTAGATATCTAGGCCTTCCTCTGGATAGGTTCTAAAAACCAGCTTTTCAGTTAGTAGCTTCAAAGCTGCTAGGAATTCCAAGTGTCCACACACTGCAACTTCCAAATCTGACTTCCCACCTGCAGATGCTAATAGCTTTCACAGGAATATAGTCACACCCAGTTGTTTACTTGGTTTTATAGATAAGACAGCAACATTGAGATGTTGCAATAGAGATCGTGTGACCCCACCCCTCCCCAAACCAAGAATATTAACTATGAAGTACTTTCCAGTAAAGTGTGCCAACCTCTGCTTTAATTCTGCTGAGGCCTTTGGAATGTGACAATGTTATTTGAGAGGATTTTTAAATACTTGATCCGTATGATTGCCCCCATCTCTGACAGTTTTTACCATTTCTTACAGGTGTGCAGATTAGTGAAAAAACCTCTGTTTCTATCACTCAATTGCTTGGGAGTGTGAGCTTTGAGAATGGAGACCCTTTCTATAGAAGAGGAATTTCTTATTTTGGAACTGTAGGTTTGATGGAAGAAGTATATGTTTCCATTTCGTTTACCGGAATCATAGATTGCTCTTTGAACATTTCTAGATGCTTTTGTTCCCCTCTATTATCCTATGTAAAAAGAATACACTTTAAGTATTATTTTGAAGGAGACTATGGATGAGAGAAAGTAATAGATAAAATAGTAGCTGTTTTCATATGCTATTAATATGGAATTTAAGAAAATTATAAATAAGGGATCACATTTGTAAAAAAGTTTTTTCTATGTAGGGATGTTAAAGCACTGTATTTTAACAATCTTAATACTTCTTTTTTTTTTTTTTTTCATGTAGCTTAAATTTTCTGGTCCCAACAATGTACCTATGGTGAGCAAGTTATTACAATTGGAGCTTAATGAAAAATTTATAGGAAATTATACCACAGATGAGAATGGGGAAGCTCAGTTTTCCATTGACACTTCAGACATATTTGATCCAGAATTCAACCTAAAAGTAAGTCATCAAAAAGCAGATGAAGACAACTGGGACTCCTCTAGAAGATTTGAGCATTAGGAATTTGTAATGTGAGGAATGTCTTAAGAAATAACTTCAAATGAGAATGCATTTTAACTGAGTTTTAAAATCTACAACATTTTGTAGAGGTTGCTTGTGCATTAAGTATTTTATGAGCTTACTTAGTCAAGAGAGTGAGAAGAGAAGCTAACATTCAATTAAAATTATTTGGAGTTCTCTAACAACTAATACTCATTTCTGAGAAATTAAGTAGCTCTTGTGACATTTTTTTTCCCCTTAGATAATTTTATGCATATATAGGGAGCTCTGGTGGCCTAGTGGTAAGAACCTGTGATGCAATCATAAATGCACACGGTTCAACTCTGACAGCTGCTCCGTGAGAGATGGACGGGCAGTCTTCTCCGATCCAAGTAACTGCTTCTGAAAACCCATTTGAGAATCAGCTATAAGTTGATCCCAACTCAGTAGCACTCAGTAACAACAACATAGGGAAGATACTTCATTTTTCTCCTGCTTAAACAGGATTTTGTCTTTAATTTGTCAGTTCAAATGTTGCTGTAAGAAATGATGCTCAAATCCAATTTTCTGACTTCAATTAGGATATAAAATGAAATAATTCATTACAGGTCTAGTAAATTTTTATCTAATTATGGTCATGGAGTGTGTGTGTGTGTATCTATCTATCGATATAAATATAGATATATATAGATATAGATATATAGATGATATAGATATAGATATATAGAGAGAAACTGTCCTAATTTTAAGAAACATCAAACACAGGCTAAAATTCCAAAATTCTTCTCCCCTTGCTTGAAGAAATAAAACTTCCATTCTGAAATAATTATAAATATTGTATTATGTTGGTAAAAATAAGTATAAAAAGATAAATACATGTTCCCACTTATATAAAATGTCTAATGTAGGTAAATATATTGAGATAAAAGTGTCTTGGTTTTCAGAGGCTAGGGAAAAGGAGAAAAGAGAAATCATTATTTAAGGGCTACTGGGTTTTGTTTAAAGTGATGAAGAAAATCTTTGGAAATGAATGCTGGTAATGGTGGTACACTATGGTGGATATAGTTAATGATACCAAATTATACAAAATATTTAAAATGCCTAATGCTTTGTGCTATATATATAATTACAATACTGTCTTGTTATTTAAACAAATAATTACTGTTTTCAGAAAGTCTTTATGATTTTTATGGTCCTTTGCTTTCCTTTTTTTATATCAGGCTTCATATATTCGACCGAGGAGCTGCTATGGTTCTGGCTGGTTGACGCCTGACTATGGAGATGCTCATTTGTTAGTCTCACGTTTTTACTCTCGAACCAATAGCTTCCTGAAGATTGTTCCAGAGCCAAAGCAGCTTAAGTGTAATCAACAGAAGATTGTTACTGTGCATTATTCCCTAAACAATGAAGCATATGCAGATCATTCAAATGTAAACTTCTATTACTTGGTGAGTTTCTGTAGGTGACTTCATGGAATCTGGATGTATGTGTTTATCACAGTTCAGTTAATAGTGACACATCAGTGATGCTATGTTAATCTGAAGAAAAGCAACCTTCTAAACTTAAAGAAGTTTCTTAGATCCATTAAAAACAAATTCACAGTAAAGATCTAAGGCAATTTCCATTTCACCAAGATGAAAACTTACTAATTAAAGTCTGATCTTTTCCAGAATTCATTTACAACACATACCAAGTATTTATAGACCTTCATGGCAGTAAAATATTAGACGAATGTCAGAGAATGAATTTGGACCTAATTTTGATTTACAAATAAGTTGTTGTTGTTGTATATTTTCAAGTTAGAACCAACTCATAGCTGACCCTTCAGCAGGTTTTCAGACGCAGTAAATTGCATGGGAGGAGATTGTTCATCTTTTTCCCATGGAAGAAGTGATAGATTAAAAGTGTGTGCCTTTGACTTGACAGCACAACTCCTTACCACTCACTACTCCTTATCACTAAGTCACCAGTTTCTGTTGTTGGGTAAAATCAAGTCGGAATCACACATAGCCAACCCTTCAGCAGGTTTTCAAAGGCAGTTAATTACATGAGAGGAGACTTTCCTGTGGAGCAACTGGTGGCTTCAAACCACATGTCTTTGGGAATTGCAACACGGCCTCTTGCTTCTAGGCTGCTCCTTATATATATGTATGCATAAACAAAATATATGTTAGAGACATATATATAGACAAAAACTATGACTAGACACAGATTTGAAAATAATAGTTCTTTCCTATCTCAAGCATCTTGCAAGCTAGTTGATCTTGGGAAAATTGTTCAAACTCTGAGTTTTAGCTTCTTCAGCTCTAATTTGTAATTGGAAATAGTAAGACTTGCTTCCTGGGTAAGTATTATAAGTCATATTTTAGTAAAATTATCATTAGAAGTAATATCACATATTCTTTTTGTTCTTCTCAGGTCATGGTAAAAGGAACTATCCTTCACAATGGACAAAAAGAAATCAGAAATGATGGTGTGTACAGTACATTCATATCTTTTCTTTTCATACTTTTTCTCTTTATGGGAATAATAAAGTGACAGAGTCAAGACATTCATCAAAAGATCAGTTACCATTTTGACTTGTGAGGACGAAAGACAGTAGTTAGCAGGGCCTCAGATACATTACTATATATTTTGATGAAGGGGATGTACACCTCTTCCTAATCATTAAGGGGATGTACACCTCTTCCAAGTCATTAAGTTCTGTATAGAATACCAATGTCTCAAATACAAATAAATATTGTGATTGTTTAAATGTTATACTATCTTCCTTATTTGTACAAAAAATTCAAGCTTATTGCTGTCCAGTTGGCACTAACTCATAATTGACCCTTCCTCGGGATTTTGGGAGGCTATGAATCACATGGGAGGAAGTTGGGTATCTTTCTCTCAAGAAGCCATTGGTGGACTGAAACTATAAGAAGGACCATGTTTTGGGTAGCAAAACTACTCCCTATGGTCTATACCATTAAAGCTTCCCCGATTTGTATATATGTTGCTGTCTATCCTTGAGTCACAATTGACCCATAGCTCATCCTCTAGTGAGTTTTCTGAGGCAGTAAATCTTACCAAAGGAGATTGGTTGGTCATATTTCTCCCATGGAGCAGCCGGAGGATTTGAACTGTGTGCCTTTGTGTTGGCAGCATAATTCCTTACCATAGTATCACCAAAGCTCCCTGATGTGTATAAATAGTTCCCATTATAGAATTAATTTGCTTTTAAAACACTGCCCAATGTCCTATTTTTGATCCACAATTCATTTTCCCTTATCTAAAGATGCCCAGTGCACAGAAAATTTTTGACATCCTATCACTGATGACTTTTTGTTTACACAGCCTGGAATGGAAACTTCTCTTTCCATATTGAAGTCAGTGCTGATCTGGCTCCTGTGGCCATCATGTTTGTCTACACCCTTCACCCCAGTGGGGAAATTGTGGCTGACAGTGTCAAATTCCAGGTGGAAAAGTGTTTTAAAAACAAGGTGATACTTCTATTTCTGACCTAATCATTAATGAGACAGGTGAACAATTTGTTTTCTATTGTCTCTATCTAATATAATTAAAATATAAACATTTAAATAGTAAGCTCTCAATCAATGCTGGTATAGGTAAACTGTTAGGGAATGAAAGAATCACCAAACAAAGTAGCCTTTGGCAGCAGTGTCAATTCTGAGTTGACAGATGGGTTATGAAAAAGCTGTTTCTGCAAGGACTAGAGAGGAGAGTTGGTAGGAGAAATATATGTACAAAAATTTACATCAATATATTCAGAAATGGCTTACTAGTTTCCAAGTATCTTCTATCTCCACTCTTTTTCCTCCTGCACTTCAGGTTGACATTAAGTTTTCTAAAGGGCAGGGGCTGCCTGGCTCCAGTGTTGATCTCCATCTTCAAGCAGCCTCTGATTCATTCTGTGCTTTGCGGGCTGTGGATAAAAGTGTGCTTCTACTGAAACCAGAACAAGAGCTGTCAGCTGAAAGTGTAAGCATTCAAATCTCTTTTCCTCATTTTTAGATGGATTCTTACAAATCTTCTACAACTGTTTTTGTTTTAAATGGGACATGTTTAAAAATTATGAATTTACAAACGTGTGAATTTTTTTGTTCCTCCACAAAGTTTATACTCCCCCCTTAAAGAATATGCCTGAATTTGTGTGAAGAGTTTCTTCTATATCCATTGTTGATTAGTCAATTAAAACTCTCATTCCTGTTGAGCCAATTTTCTTTTCATAGCAACCTTCATCAGGTTTTTGAGTCTGTAAATCTTTATAATAGGAAAATCCCCATGTTTCTCTTGAACAAACTTGTGGATTTAAATTAGCAACAATGTGTGAAGATTTCCTACCAAGGCTCTTTTAGTGACTCTGCAGAACAGAGCAAACTGCCTCACAAGGTTTTCAGTAAGGAGATATGGTGGCCTCCTCTGTTGCTAGCCAAAAGGGATTTTGAATCTAGCAGCAGCTCCAAAAGAGAAAGACAGTTTCCTCTCCCCTGATTTACAACCTTGGAAAACTACTGAAATATCAAGTATGAGAAGAAAATAAAAGAGAAAGAGAGAGAGCAGGAGGGAGGGAGGAAGAAGAGACAGAGAGAGAGAGAGAGAGAGAGAGAGAGAGAGAGAGAGAGGTAGAGGAAGGGAGGAAAGGGTTGGGACAAAGAGAGAGAGATAAATAGGTTTCCAAGGCTTTAATCTGTATAAAATCTGCTGATTGAGTTCTAAATACAAATATTTGGGTTAAAATTTGAATGCTTTAACAGTCATGACATCGTATTTCTCTTATCTATTAATAGATCTTATATTTCTATAAATATTCCTAGCTAACAATTCCAAAGTTTCACATAAAACTTACTTCAGTTATTAACTATTGGATTACTTTCCTTTGTTATTAATATAAACATATAGAAAAAAACATTAAAATGTATTATTGTATTTAAGCCTAGGCTTAATAATTAAAAATGTTTTTCTAATTATTAGAATAATGTGTGTTACAGAGGAGTAAAGAAGAAAAAATTTAAATCATTTGATCTAAAGATTTAGTTATTTTTTTATTTTTTGGTATAGTTCTTTATTTTTTTCCTTTTTTCAAAAATTTGTTATTAATTTCAATGAAAATTTACAGAGACTTTGGATTTCCATTCATTCATTGTTACACTTTTCTCCCCTCCCAACCCTCTTCCCTAGTACACTACCCTCTTGGAAAAGTAAAAGAAAAATTCTTTCATTGTTTTACAATCTCTCCCTCCAGGTCCACTCCACTATGCAACCTTCGCTCTGGACTCCTGTCATGACAAAAATACCTAATCACATATCCCTTTTAAATAGGCTTGTCCCTCATCTGTTTCAATGCAGTATATATTATACAATCCATCTCAGTCTCCCCCAACCCCGAGGTCAGTCATGTTTTACAACAGTGGCACCATGCAGTATTTGTCCTTTTGTGACTGAGATACTTCACTCAGCATAATGTCCTCCAGGGTCACCCAATTTGAAAAATATTGCATGAGTTCCTTGTTTTTCAATGCAGCATAGTATTCCATTGTGTGACTATACCACAGCTTCTCTATCCAGTTTGTTGATAGGCGCTTCGGTTGTTTCCAACTCCTTGCTATTGTGAACAAAACCACAATAAACATGGGTGTGCATATATCTGCTTGGAAGTCAGTTATGGTCTCTTTGGGGTGTATTCCCAGTAGTGGAATTGCTGGGTCCAATGGTATCTCTATTTGTAACTTTTTGAGAAAGCGCCATACCGCCTTCCACAGTGGTTGCACCATTTTATACTCCCACCAACAGTGAATAAGGGTTCCAGTTTCTCCACAACCTCACCAGCATTTGTTGCTTGTTGTTCTGTTAAATTTTGCTATTCTGACTGGGTTGAGATGATATCTCATAGTTGTTTTGTTCTTTTAAATGTCTTTACTGAAGATAGATGTTACAGAGACAAGATCATAGTGACAAATCTGGTATTCTCATATGTATTCAAAATTAATACTCAATAACAAACCTAGTTTTAAACATCTCTCTTTCTCTCATTATTTAATGACTGAAAGCTGAAAACCACCCCCACCTCCCACTCCTGAAGAACTATTGCTTCTAAGAACCACAGAAGAGCCATTGCTGGGGTCACAGCACAATTGTCTGTGGTCTATGCCATTTGGAAATTTACTTCATCAATTTGATAATCATGTATTATAATCTTTAGGTTTTTTTTACTTTTTCTGTCTTTTTTTTTTCAAGCTTCCTGAAACCCTGTGCAAAATTTGTAAAACTTTATGAACGTGACATTGACTCAATTCAACAATATGGAAGGCTTCCTCTTTTAGAAGGATGAAATGACTCAAATATTAGTTTAAATCATATTAATTCAATATTATGTCTATGCTTATAGAGAAAAGAACAAGAATATAAGAATATATGGTTATGATAGAATATTTACTGTTTTAATATAAAAGAAGTGTTTAACATAATTGGGAAACCATATGATTTCTTTTCCCATAGGTGTACAATCTGCTTCCTTATATAGAACTATATGGTTATTTCCATGATAGTCTCAACCTTGACGATGAAAAGCTCAACCCTTGCATTCCTCCAAAGAATATGTTTTACCATGGTTTGTATTATATGCCTGTGAGCAATAATGGGGATGGAGACATCTTTAATATTATTAGGGTAAGTTCCCTGAGATTCTAGAAAATAGTGTTACACAGTGCCTGTTTTGTCAATTCCATTGTTTGCTTAAGTTTATGTTCTAAAACCTGCTAATAATTTACTCAGAAATTATAGTATAAATTAGATTCTTTTTCCCTGAATTTATTTCTGATGTAAATAAATTAAATAGCTAAAATTACAAGATATTCAAAATGATAAGAAGATCTCACATTTATTGTGATACATTTTTTTGTGCTCATTCATTGACTTCAAGTTAGAACTAATAACTGCCAACCCTGTAGAAGATTTTCTGAGGTTGTAAATTACATGGGTAGAATGCCCATCATTTTCCCAAAGAGGACCTGGTAGATTTGAACTGCCTTTGGGTAGACAGTGCAACTTCTTACCCACTAGGCCACTTATGCAGAAACAGTCAAATCAGGAGATGAAAATATAGTTCTGGCTCCATATATTCTTATCACACAGAATCCACTTATATTGAGTCAGACTCTCAGTTGAATTTCTATTACTGTAAAACTTTATGGGAGGAGAATATAATTTTTCTCCCACAAATTACCTGGTGAATTCAGTCCACTAGTCTTTTGATTGCAGCTTAACATATTATACACTATGCCGCTAGGAATCCTGACATATAATAATACTATATTATCTAGATATACTTGTACACACGTGTGGAGCTGTCTGTGAAAAGATCTTTATAGTTTCATGGCAAAGGCTTATAAGAGCATGAAATCAGACTATTCAATTGTTCAATTCCCAGCTCTCCAGTTAGCCAATATTTATTGAATGTGTTTGCATATATATGTATATTTCATGTTAATTAGGGTAATGATAATGCCTGTCTTTACTGTTGTAAATAAAGATTTTTATTTTTCTTTAGATTTGAGGCCTTATGTAGATAGTCAGCAAAATGCTAGCACATAATACATTTTAACAATTCTGATTTTCTTTCACTGAGCAAAGATTTAAGTACAGAAGTGACTTAACATCTAGGATATCAGAACTCTTGCTAGCAGAGAAAATAGTATGCATTTATGAACTGTATATAACTGATAAACCTTTTAAGTTCTCATGTGAAGAGAAAAATGCAACTATTTTTTTTGTGTTTGTTTGTTTCTTTCTTTAAAGGATATGGGTCTGAAAGCCCTTACCAATCTTCACTACCGAAAACCAGAAGTATGTGTAACAGAGACAAGGCCTCATTACTATGAGGCAAGGCCAGTATTTCTTGAAGCAGCAGGATTTGACAGTATGCCTAGTGACACATCTAGATTTGCATGTAGGTAATCTGTGGCTGGGGGAACAGGGAAAAGGATTAATAAATTTGGGTTCATTTGGGTAAAGCTATAGAAAGTGGGAGTTTATTTATAAATTATGCTTGTTTTTTTTACTATAATCAGCTATATTATAGTTGAATGAAGCTACTTAAGTCAGGCTCAAATTAATTTTGTTTTTGAAAAACAAGAGTTAGTTTTAAATACGAGAGAAAAGTTTTCTTTAATTGGTAGAATACAATATAAACTATATATGGGATCAGTCCTCTGTAGTGAAATAGGAATACTCACCTTTTGTGTAATTGAATCTGATGTAAGATAATAAGTTTATATTATTATAATGGTCTTTATACTCATTTTGATATGAGTTTGAATCAACTTGAAAACTCATAACAATATACCCTTAATATACCCTAATACACAGTTCCAAGGCAGATATACTGTGATGTCTAACTAGACAGACAACTGGCACTATATCAATATGTTAAACACTATTTTATATTGGGAAGATTGTGATTATAAAACAGAGCCATAGTCTTAGATTAATAAGTAGGACAATTACCAAAATGGGCATTCTGTCAAGGAAGCAAAATGAACAAAAGCTATATTCTAAATGCATTTGAGAGTGCTTCAATTAGATTTTTAAATTCCCTCTGGTCTCTCATTGTCATTAACCTTATAATTAAAGTTGGCTTGCTGCTATCAGAGTTCTACATAAGCAAAGACCCCGCAGCTTTGTATAAGGATAGACAAGTTTAAAGGTCAAACTTAGTTAAAGGCTTAGTCAAAAGTTGAAGCTATTTACTTTTTTTCATTTTTACTCTTTAGTTAAACCATATTAAATGCTTAATGGAAGCATTCAAGCTTTCTATTATTGCTGATCCAGCACCATGTGTAAATTACTAAACAATATCATTAATGTCACATGCAAACAAAATATTATTGAAAATATAAAAAAATTACTAGAATAGAACATTACAAGAGAATGACCAGAAGTGTGAGCTGGTTTTAGAAGAGTCTATTGGACCAAGGATATCATTGCTAATTGTCAGATAGATCCTGGCTGAAAGCACAGAATACCAGAAGGATGTCTATTTATGTTTATTGATTATGCAAAGGCATTTGACTATGTAGATTATAAAAAACTGTGTCTAATGTTGAGAAGAATGAGAATGACAGAACACTTAATTATTCTCATACAAAACTTACAACTAGACCATGCAGCTGTTGTTCTAACAGAGCAAGGGAACACTACCTGGTTTAAAATAAAGGAAGGAGTATGTCAAGGATGTATTGTTTCTTCATACTTTCTCAGTCTATATGCTAAACATCTCATTCAGAAGTCTGGTCTTTATTAAGAGTAACGTGGTATCAGGATCAGATAAGGAGCCAAGAACCTGCAGATAACACAACCTTACTTGCTGCAAATGAGGAAGATTTGAAACACTTGCTGCAGAAGATCAAAGACAACAAATTTCAATATGGATTACATTCCAATATCAAGACAATCCTTAAGTAACATCATGAGAGGTGGCTAAAAGATTTAAATATTCAACTATTTTATCTTACTTGGATCCACAATCAACATCCTTGGTACCTGCAGTCAGAAGATGAAGAGAAATCTTTGCATTAGGAAATTCTGCAATCAGAGACCACTCTCCAAATAGTTGAGGAACAATAATGTTTGAAGACTAAGGTGGGCCTGATGAAAGCCATGGTCTTCTTTTCAATAACTTACCTGAATCTGCGAGGTGAACAATGAGTAAAGATGACAGAAGAAGTATTGATGCCTTTGAGTTGTGACATTAGAGACGAGTACTGAGCATCCCTTGGGCTGCCAAAAGAATGAAAATATGTTTGGGAAAAGTTCAGTCAAAATGTTCCTTAGAGGCAAATGACAAAACTTCATCACATATACTTTGGGCATCTTGCAAGAGACTGTTCCTTGGAAAGAAGCATCATGTTTGGAAAGGTAAAGGAACAATAGAAGAATGGATGAGTCTCAATGAGATAGACTGATACAGTGACTGTAGAAATAGGTTCAAGTGTGTCAGAAATGATGAAGATGGCACAGGATAGGACAGGGTTTAGATACGTTGTTTATAGAGTTGTCATGAGTCATACTCAACTTGGTAGCATCAAACAACAACAACAACAACATTACTGGTAAAAGAGTTCTAGTGGTGGTGTCCTTAGCATGTTGCACTGTTAACTCAAAGATTTCACATCCCTGGTGATTGAATTCCACCAAAGGATTTGAGGGAGAAATATAGGCAGTCTCTTTCCATTAAAATGCACAGCCCTGGAAATCTAGTGGAAAATCACTATGGATCAGAATTGACTTGATGGCAATAAGTGAAAGTTGCTGAGTAAAATACATTGAAAACCAAGGAAGTTCATCTTAAATGTCTTAATTCTTTAGTCATTCACTTATTATTTCACTTAATAAATATCTACGGAGACATGTGTTAGAAATCCAGTGACTTACTTAATCCCTGGTGTCCTGGAGCTTTCAACGTAACAGAGATGCATTAGGTAACCTCAGTAATATGTTACAGGTTCAGTAAGTGGAAAAAGAGGAAATGTGGAATCTGTGAGAAGAAACTGTACTTCTCAAGGGTCTGTATGTTTTCCTGTGGGAATGGTATTTATACCAAGACCTAAAAGAGAAGTGATAACCTAATTAGAAGCTCTATGAAAAATGAATAAAAATATAAAACCATTTGCGAAAGGCAGAGTATATGGTTCAAGGGCAAGAGTATAATTAGTTTTAGACAGATTATGAAAGACTTTGAAAATGTCTGCACCCTTTCCCCGCTACACCCTCATCCCATTTTCCATCTCTTGTTTAGGGATATGTAAGTCCAAATATAATGTACCAACTTCAGAGAAAGATTTTTGATTGAGGCCATACTGAGGGAAGACTCTGGCCACAAAAATTCTGTTAAGTTCTATGTCTTACTGTCTCTGTTTACATCACTGACACAATGTGATAATTCCAAGTCCTGACAAGTCTCTTCTACGTCTGATACTGTGGTGGTGTTTGTTTAGCCTGAGGGTCAAAGTAGATTTGAGACTGAGAATATCCTTTCTGGAAAAGATGAGATTAAGGTAGCCAATGCCCTTCTGGGAGAAAGGTGTTACCTGAGTCAGGAAATCAAAAGACAAATTGCATTGGGAAAATCTGCTGTCATGGACCTCTCCAGATTGTGGAAGAGCAATGATGTCTAGAGGCAAAGGTACACCTAATCTAGGTCGTGTTCTTCACGATTATTTGTAATGCTTCAGAGAGTTGGAAATGACTAAGGATGACAGAAGGATAAATGCCTTCGAATTGTGGTTCTGGAACATACCATGAACTGCCTAGAAAACAAATAGATCTGTCTTGGAGAGTGTGAAACAAAGTCTCTTTGTAGGCTAGGATTTTAAAGCTCTGCCTCATTTACTTTGGGCATGTGGTCAGGAGAGATTAGTCCTTGGAGAAAGATATCATGCTCCAAAGGGTGGATGGACAGTGCAAGAGAGGAAGACCCCGGATGAGATGGATTGATACAGTGACAGATGGTGTGTCAGAATTACTAAAACTGGCTCAGAACAGGGAAGGGTTCAGACCTGCTGTACATAGGGTCACTAAGCGTCTCAGGAGACTCAACCAATAGCATTCTATGACAGCTTTGGAAGCAGGCATGGCATCCACTTCCTAAACAACATGCCTCCAGAAACTCTATGAACTTTGATAAACGTTGATAGTTGTAGAGGGGTTTCAGGCCTTTTGTTCATAGGGTCACTATGAGTCAAGCTCAACTCAAAGACAATCAACAACAACAGCTATTGTTGTTCATTGCCATCAATTTGAAACCAACTCACAGTTAACTCACCAACATTTCAGAGATTATTATTTTCATAATAATCATGTGGGAGGAGATTGCTCCTCTTTCTTTAATGGAGTAGCTTGAGGAAATGAACTGCCTGCCTTTGGGTTATATAAAAAGAGTCAGGATAACACAGAAATGGCTGAGTCTTACTTCTAATTCCACAAAAAGCAATTAATAGAAAGCAGATCAACATTACAAAACTAATTTCTATTAAGTCAGATATAGTCCACCATGTTCTTTCACCTGATTCTACTAATTCCAACATCAATATCACTGCTTTACTGGATCCAAAATCTATTGTAATGTCTATACAGACTTTTCAGAACCATACGCATGAGCTTAATAGGAGAGTTAGCAAGCTATAATTCATGTTCATGGAAGGATATAATCCCTCAGTCTAGATAGTTTTTCAAACAGGATCGCAGGCCCTTTGACCTTTAGCCTTTTGGCTAAAGTCAGTGTTATAAAATTTCCTTAGTCCTACCAGTTATGGTATCTACTCTCAGTCTTCCAGCAAGCTTGGGTGAAGGGCTCTGGCTCCAGTTCTGTGTGGCAGCAGTTCCAAGTCAGCTCTGTCTCAGGTTGCTCTCTAGTTCTTTGTTGAAGCTGTTGTTTTTCTTCTGTAGATCTTAATCTGGCTGGTGCATATATCTCTGACACCAAAAGGTGCATGCTGCTTCCCTAGCCTTGTTGGTGTTGAGATCCCCAATTTCCACTGCTGAAACCACTTGATTTAAAACTAGTAGGATGGCTAGACTAGCCAATCCCCTTGTGGATAGACAAAGAGCCCTATATATATGATCCCATTCATACATGTTTCTAAGTCAATGTTAATGCCAATGAAAGCCATTTTGAATAAAAAATGTTTAACATCATAGATTGGCAATACAACTCCTTACCCACGAAGCCACCAAAGCACTAGTGTATATATGCTCTCTCTATATCTATCTATCTATCTATCTATCTATCTATCTATCTATCTATCTATCTACTTATA